GGAGGATGGATGGTAGGTCTGAACATACTGCTGCTATGGCATTGTCAAAAGATAGCCACCATGTTTTGCAGGCCTTCTTTATCTGCTTGCCAATTCTCTTGTTTGCCTTTGCCCCAAGTGTAAGTTGTTTCATCTCCTCTTGTAGTTTTAGGTATGCTGCAAGCTTCTTTGGAGAGTTTTCAAAGATTTTCCACAGTTGTGTGACCTTCGTCTCCACCTTCTTTATGACTGCTAGTTCCTCGTTGGTGTCCGTGCAGGCCAGAGCTAACTTGTGGCATACACAGTGAACTGCCACTAAGCTGATCACATCCTTCTTCAGTAATGCTGCTAGGCCTCTGGTTTTACCAGTCATTACACTTGCCCCATCAGTGGAAAGACCCCATAGGTTCTTTTAGGGAATATTCAAAACTTGAAGCTGTTTAGTGATAACACCATGCAATGTTGTTGCATCAGCACTTGCAGATTCTTCCAGAACATTGGCTGTAAATAAAAACTTTCACTCTAGTTTGCCCTGGTCCACATCAAAGAACTGAATAAAAGCCAGCATCTGCTCTTCATTGCTGACATCTGCCATGACATCCACCAACAGGCCATAAAAGGACTTCTCTTGAAGCTTACCACAGATGTGCTCACGCGCTGTATTTCCATTCGTAAGAAATATCTCCCTGAGTGATCCATGAGATCGCCCAGTGAAATACTTCAGCTCTTCAAGACCCAAGAGCTCCATCAACTTGAGGAGGGAAGTGATCTTCCTGTTGGCAATGAACTCCTTGCAGGCCAGTACACTGCATGGAAAGCTTCTTGTAGCACTACAAGCTTAGAACTCTCCTTTTGGTCAACTTGCTTTTGGAAGTGAGACACTTGATTTAACAGTTCATTCATCACTGTTGTCTGATGTTTTGCACAGGTCATATGTTCCTTGACTGTACTCCACTTGAATCTTGTGGATGGATCACTTGAGAATGTTTGAATTCTGTTCTGAGCAGACTTGCTTTTATGTTTACGGCAGAGTAGGCAATACATCCCTTTTTTTCTCAACTTAAACAAGCCACCAGATACCAGTTCGGTGACAAAAGCATGCCTCCCTCCTGAACCAACGACTCGTGCTGAAAACAATCTTTCTTTTTGGTCATCTTGACATGATCCATCTCTTCTTTTGAGATTCTGTTGCAGCCCGTGTTTCAGCATTTATGAAACTGATGCATTCTATCGATTTGTGTTGATGAAAACAAATTTTCAATGATTGCCTTTGTCTCCTCTTCTGTTAGTTGTGGAGCACTCAGTAATAATAATAGGTCTTTATTCCATCATAAGATAAAACTACATAACTTATGTTACAATGAATTGAAAAAACTACAGAAATCTACATACATATTATGAATTAAAAAGTATATCATTACAATAAATGGAGCTTAAATATCAACCTATTTACAAATGTGTTCATAAAGCGCTGTGTATTAATTTTCGGGCGCGCGCAGTGACAATTGCGATGCTGTGCTACCCTCACTGAGAAGAGCTGGGCCATCTGAAGCTGAACTGTTTGATTGATGAGTAGAGCTACATTCTAATTCCTGACTAGTGGATGTAGAGCTGTGATTTAACTGGATACTGGGCGTGGTTACATCAGCGCTTCCAACTTCCATCTCTGAGCAACAAAATTAATTAGACTTGCTTAAAAGCCATGCTCCCAATTTGTCAATCTCAACTACAGAGCAGTTTGCCAAATTTGACTTCTTTCACGAAATTCACAGTTATTAAAATGCCTTTTAAATAATGTAAAACCCGGTGAAAATAAAAAGTCAGAGCCCACAAAAAAGAGATGAACATCTTACTAATTTAAATTAACAGAGGCTCCATCGTGTCTAGCGGATAAATTTGGTGATCTTCGTGTTTGTATAAACACGCATTTGGCTGCAAGTTCTTGTTTTTCAAATAAAGCTCAACTTATTCTAAAATTATCCTTCTTTGTTTCAATATTAGTATCAGTCTTAGTATTTCTTTTTGATTGTTTAAGCGATACGCCAGCACAAAAAACGTTTTAATCAGGGTATACAAAATTTTCACACTGTCGTAATAAACAACAGTGTTTCTAAAGTGACACAAACAAAAGGATAATTCAAATGAAAGAATAAGAGTGTCATGAAAATACTGAAACAATACGTGACCAAGCTAAAATGAATTTGGCCAGTCATCGTGTCTGGAGACTCTCCGGAAATTATTTCGAGTCCTGTCACAAGATAACCAGTGAACCAGAACGACTTCTCTTTTTGCCGCATCGGTTTATGGAATCCATGGTCTGTCCACTGAATGATATTGTTTTCCCACACAATGTGAAACATGCAAAGGATGAGTTTTTATCAATGCTTATCTTATTGCCCGCCATCTTGCACATTCTCTTCATCTTCCCTCATCTTCTTCTTTTTAATGAAATTGAAATCAAGCAAAGTCCTATTTCGTTTTGCTCCACTGCCTTCACTCGCCATAATTTCA